AAGTTATATATATATATATATATATATATATCACCTTATTTATATATGAAAAGGTGTATTCCCCATTTTTTAATTTAAAATTGTGATAATTTTTATGTGATATAATAGAGTTAAGTGATATAAATGTAAAAAAATAGAGTTAGGAGTTGGGTGTGTTATGTATGTAAATGCCCCTGTTGTGAAGTTTTCATGTATTGTGAAAGGCTTCTGCACCCTTTAGTCCCACATCAAAAAATAATAGTTTGTTCTTTAAATTAAAAGGCTCAGATAATTAATTAAATGTGCATCACATGATGTGTGAGTTAAGGTTTGGTTAATAATATGAGTTATTTTAAATAAAATAATTTATTATTTTAAAAATAGAGTCATAATTTATTTGCATATTTTAAATAAGTTGAGCTGGTTATATAAGATAAATTAGGATAGTAAAGCCTACATCCTAAATTTGAATCGTGATGAATGGAAAAAATATTACATCACACTCCGGAGTACACATGAAATGTCGAAAAAAATAATTTTCACTCGGCCGAAACCTGGTCTTAATAACACCACATAATATTCGAATAGCACTTTATTTTTCACAAATATCATCGCGGTATATAAAAAAAATAATTTTCACTCGGCCGAAACCTGGTCTTAATAACACCACATAATACTCGAATGGCACTTTATTTTTCACAAATATCATCGCGGTATATAAAATAACCCCGCAGGATTAGAAATAATGCGGATGGAATATTTCTGTAATATAGCCGGAAAATTAAATAACGCAAAGGAATATTTCTAATTGATTTACCACGTACTTAATATTTTTAAAGTATGTAATTTTCTAATTTTAATTAAAAGATATTAAATTTAAGAATAAAGATTCGAGTTAGGTTTGGGCCGGGCCGCACGCGTCTTTTTTTTATATATAATGGAATTCTATGTGGGTCCCGATATTCCACGTGTCCTTATTTTATTGGACTTCGAACATAGCTCTACATTCAGAGTTCTGATGTAATATTTCCTCTGTTGAATGTGGATTTTCATGATTAGCTCGAATTCTAATTGGTTTATTTATTGAATAACTTAGCTCCCATTGTTGCCCTGCCCTTGTTTAAAAGGTGCAATTTTTTTATCCAGCAAGATTTACGTTGAATACAATTCGAATATGTTGTGAGAATCAAAATAGAAAGAGCTTTAGCTAGTGTCTCTACTATCAGCAACAGTTTCCTAGAGCAACTAAGGTGCAGCTGCCCCAAACATACCATTTATTACTTTCTTAAATGGAATATATGCATTAGAAGATAGTGATGGCATACATATCTAAAGTTAATATGTATTATTAATTTGTTCATTTTATATTGCATTAGTTGTCTAAGCATCTGTTTGGAAATAGAAAGAGCTTTAGCTAGCGTCTCTACTATCAGCAGCAGCTTCATGAAGCAACTAAGGTGCAGCTGGCTCAAACAAACCCTTTATTACTTTCTTAAATGCATATTTGCATTAGAAGATAGAGATGGCATACATATCTAAAGTTAATATGTATTATTAATTTGTTCATTTTATATTACATTAGTTGCCTAAGCGTTTGTTTGGGATAACTTTCTAGTTATTTTTTTCAGACCGTTTTCACATTTTTGTTTGGGAAACTACTTTGTTGTTGTTTTATAAAAAATTATGTGATTGGAAACTGTTTTTTTCAACCTGAAATGTTAAGATATGGTGGTTGTCAAAAAACTACAGTCTGACTTTTTGAAATTAAAATAAATTTGTAATTACCACCACAACTTTTTGAATAGTAATTTTTTTTCTTACAGCTGTTTGGCAATTGTTTATTCAAACAGCCGCACCAATTCCAACAGACCCTAAGATGTGAGTTTTGTTTTCCTAATTATATTTTTTTATTATCTCTTATGATTGGCTTTTCTTATTGATACACCACCAACTAATTTTCATCCAACACGAATCTTGAGGCATGACACAAATCTCGATATAATACTTTAAGCAAGAAACATTCATGATAAAAAGTTATCTAGAGCTGCGATTTCAGTAAACTTATAGTCAAACTGACCTGTTCAATGAGACGGGCCTAATGATATCAAAACTACCCCAGTCCAAGTCAAATCAAGCCCAGATAAAGTCATTAAACCACAGTTAGAAGATTTATGAATACATTTGAAAAGTCAAACAACTGTCAAATATGACAAGTTTATACTCAAATCGAGCGGCTCGACAAGACGAATCCAACAAGCCCAAGATCACTCAATTCTGACATCATTAAGGCACTCAAATGTCCATTAAACGTCGTATGATCGACGGAAGATCTCTGGACCGTCTGATCAAAATAGTTCATATTTTTGCATTAATTACACTTAGAACACTATAAATAGAGCCACATCCCTCTCAGGAGGGGGGAGGAAGTCTAGAGAGAGTCTGAGGTCTTGAGGAGAAGCTGCAACTCAGCATCACTACCAATTGTCGTCGACCACCGCCCCCGCCCCCGGCCCCCCCCCGCCGACTGTCGTCAACCTCCACCTACCGTCATCAATCACCACCAACCAGACGTCGTCAGTCACATTGTAATCTGAAAAATATAGTTACAATTTCTCGTCTGTGGGACGAGGGATTTCTGTAATCATCAATCAATAGTGGATTTCCGCAACTGTGTCAGACCCCATGGTTTTTCCCTAACGGGTTTTCCACGTAAAAACTTATGGAGTCATCACCGTTTTTTTCTATTTCATATCTGTGTGTGCTGAGCTTTTGTACAACGCTAAGACGATAATTTATTATTCTACCGCTGCGAATTTTCTAGCACGCATCACTTATAATAAAATCCTTTTAAGGATTTGTATTTGTTTAATGAACAGGTTAAATAAAAATTTAGGAGATTGGGGTTTAATTCCTCTTGTTCTTATGTGCATTTAGGTTATATTGTGTTAGGAATCATTAAAATATTAAGCTTTATCAATACATTCTTTTAATTTTTTTTATGCAAATAAATTGAAGTAATGCATTCTTGGTTAAAATTTACACTCTCACTTTGGTGATACACCTATAAAAATGTGCAAGTTCGCTAATGTAGATGTTAAGGTGACAAAATTACTATTCATTTTAGTAGAAAGTGCTAAGCCGAAGCAATTATTACAATGCATGATGACATAAATTTGCATAATTATGCCACATATTAATCAATAAAGCATTAGAGATGCTCACATGAAAAATAATACCAATTCTATTTTGAAAAAGTTAGATGATGATAAATGATGTGTCCATTGAAAACTTATGCTGCTAATCATTTTCTTAATCATATAATTAGGCATTTTGAAAGTCAATGTCACTAAGAAAACCCTCTTTGAATGTCTATTCAAAACACAACTTCAATCACTCTAAACTCTATAAATCCTCTTTATTGTTCAATTAATCTAATGGACAACCATCCAATATCACAAATCCTCTTTATAAAAATAGTACACTATTTTTGTGTTATTCATGAAGTCAAAATTTGAATAATGCATTAAATAAGGGCAATTATGTTGTGATAAAAAACACATAAATTCATCATTCATAATATTTATTATAAGGACATTTGAATGCATACCACATAATTATTAAATATTTATTAACATACACAAAAATATTTAATATTACATAAAAAGTATCACTATTGTTAACATTAAAATAGTGAGAAAAAAAAACATTTTCATGGTAATTTATGCCATCAAGCCAATGAGAATCAATATAGTTTCTTCCTAAAGGCTAACACAAGCCAATGAGAACCAATATTACAATATATGTTAAACATGAGCATCTTATAGCATCTTCCTAAAGGCTAATAGACACTCAATGAAGTTTATTTACTTAGAAGGATTAAGTTTTTTCATGAGTACATTCCCCATTATCATTTACCTAACAAAAAAGGAATAGTATTAAGAATGTTAGTTTCTATCACACCCAAGCATACATATATAGAGTTAGGGCAAAACAAAGTGAGGAAATTATCATTCATTTACATCACATTATATGCATATGCTCATCTCATCATAAGGATTTAACTTACCTTCATTAATCAATATGATCAAAATTGTATACAAATTCATGCTAAAATAAAAAAACATAAATACAACAAGAATCTCAAGTCTTTTATTTACACTAATCCCAAAGTTTCAAATTCAAAACAATCATACTACATAAATCATTACATTAAATTTATTCTTAGAAAATACTACATACCATACAACTATGTATGATATCCATGTCCATGTCAATTTTTTTGTATTCCACCAACACTTTTCTTTTTCATGAAATAACAATAATCAATATAAAGCCCAATAGAATATACAAAACTTATCATTGAATTCACTACATGGAGAATATTATAATAGGTATAATTTTACAATGCTTATCATTTACATACATATCACCCAAATCATGTAGTTACATATCTAACTTCTAAATTTTCCTTTTCACATCTGTACTACCTAAATCTTTCATATCACATAAAATACCACAATTTTATTTTATTTTTTTTCAAATGAAATGCATATTTTCATGCAAAGGTAAGATGGGTATGTATGTAAAAATCAAATTTTTTGGTGTAGATATGCAAATACATATGAATTGAGTGGTATGTATGTAAGTCTTTCATAATTATAATATTCATTTATGATGTAGCAACACTTTATTTTATATTCATGAACCATTCATCACTTATATCACAACATATATAGAAACAATATATAATTGATTTGGTTATTATTCTTATAATAATAGTTTATTATCATAACATAACTATATTGCTACCTATCCTCATTAAAACTGTCAGTATATCACTTATATGCATCATGCTAAAAGCTAGGATTTTCACAAAAAAAATGTTATGAGGATAGGGATTTGTATGTTTGTTTTTGTGTATAAGTCTAAAATGACTCATTTTATCATACTAAACTACTTTATTAGTCCATTTCTTTCTAGTTGGCAAAGCACATAACATCTTGTGATCAAATATCAAGATTAGACCAACAGTGATACAGAAAAATGTTAGATTATTTGTATAAATAGAGATCATATTTTATACAGAGGAGATTCCATTTGTGTATTAAGATATGATCAATATATTAAAAGTATAATTATACAAACTCAAGTGAAATCCAAAGTCAATTTTTCAAGCAAACAAAGCCAAATGTTCGATTACTAGAGCCCAACAAAGTGTCCAATCAAGACCCATCATAAAAGGCCAATTAAAAAAAATAAAATGATTAAACTTTAAACATTATTGTTTAAATTTCAAAATTATATTATAACTGCTTTAAACTTTCAAATCTAGATGTTTGCTTGGACTCATCATCATAATAAGAAAATAAATTAGAAACATAGTTGTTATTTTTCTTCATTAATAATCACTTACCTTATCCTCCAAAATTTATCTTTTTTTAATTTTTTAATCATTGTAATCGTATAAATAAAACTAATATAATTTTTTTTTTCCAATTTTGTTAAATTTTATGAGCGGAGAATTGCTCATTTTTAATTTTGTCCTTGGCGGCTCAAGTTTGTTATTTTTTTTATGAAATTAAGCAATTGTCCTTAGTTTATTTTAGTTCATTTTTAGATATACTTGTTTTTTATATTAAGTTCTTATCTCAACCTGATTAATATTTTCTCAAAATCCCCATAACCATATAAATCATCTACTACTAAACTCAACCCTCACATCCACCCCAAGATTTATTTTAAAACTATCAACCAAGCTAAACAAGACTAAAATTTAATCTTGATATCTAATACGTGACACACATAAAATCTTCCAAACAATCACAAGTATTTCTAGTCTATTATCCCACAAAATAAAATTCCTCAAAATGTAGTTCTAAATTAGCACAAATTAGCCCAATTTAGGCAAATCTTATACTTTTCATTACTACAACCTTGCTAATCCCCCATCGCTCCACCACAAATTCTAAAACACTTCTTTAAACATTAATAAAGACAATCTCCCTAAAAAGATCAGCTACCATCATTATATTTGATATCAAAGTGAATCTAAGAATGAGCAATACAATAGTAGGATTTACTTGAGGGAGCTTTTCCCTTATAGTGTGTCTAATGGCTTCACTATAAAAATATATGATTAAAATCAATTTCACCACCCTTCATAAATTTGATATTGGATTTTAAACATAAATATTAGTTTGTTGGTTAATTTTCTTGTTAAGGAATTTTAGTGATTTTTTCAAACTTACATCTTATGTCATATCCTTATTATTTTGACAAAATGTCCACTACTTAGCTTCTCATTCCTAAACAAAAAGTTAAAATATTTGTTTCGAGTACATCATTCAATTTTAGCTAATCTTTGATTTGGTGACTTAGATTAGCACTTCAAAACTGTTGTCTAAATTAGATTTTTTTCCTTTCTTTTAGAAAGAGAAGAGGTTAACAAATTAGTTTGTATATTTATTTGTTTTTTATTTCTTATCATTACTCATATCGCATGTATACTTATTATTTGAATTTTCAAACATAATTTGCATGAGCCCGCCATAATAATGCAAATATAATTTATGAAGTTAATTGACACATTCATCCATCAATAGCCATCTTTCCCTCAAAATTCTCTTTTTTTTTTTTTTTTTTTGATCAATGTAATACTAATAAATAGGACTATTATGTAATAACTTCTTCAATTCTAGAAACGAAATTTTATGTAAAAAATTGCTCTTTCTTAACTTGATGCATGGTGGCCTGGGTTCTCTTCTCTTTGGTGAGATAAGTAATTATTTTTTTGTTGTTTGAATGACCTAGCTCATTGGTGCAGCCTCTGGCGTAACTCCCTCGGGTCGGGGGTTCGAATCTCGTGGTGCGGGCTCTTCGAATTAGGAACAAGCATACTAGAGTTTTCAACCCTTTGAGGGAATCGATATTTGGTGCCCATTGGACCAAACCAAACATCGATTTCACCTTTTTTTTTTCAAAAAAAAAAAGTTATTATTCTTAGTTTATTTTTCAATTTTGCTAGCTTTCATCATAAGTCATGTTTTCAACCAAATTAATTCTTCTCAGCATCCCTAAAATCATATAGAACCATTCACCACTAAGCCCAACCCTTACATCCGCCCCGAGGTTCATCTTAAAGTTCTCGACCAAGCTCGACAAGACTAGAACTTAATCGTGTTACTTGCCACTTGACATACATAAACTCCTCCAAATTTAATCCACTCAACATCGAGACCACAAATCCTAAGGAAACAATCCACAAGAATTCCTAGTCTTTTATCCCACTAAAATCTACCACAACATCAAAATAACAATCCAAAGTCTTTTACACTCCTAAATCTCACTAAAAAGTTCACCCACAATTATCAAATCCTCTCTCTTCAAGGGAAGTATTAATATCATAAAACTGTAAGATAAAGTATCTGTTACAATGTGGGATAAATGAATGGGCACTACACAAATAAAACACAAGAAAGCTTATAACTCAAACTCAATTATTTTATTTACATGAACACACAACATGAGCCCAAAAAACTCGGGACTATTTTGCAGTTATACTATCAAGCCAAACTCAAGCTTGATAATCAATGGCCTCTGAAGGCACTGGCGCTGCATGGTCATAGATACCAAAAGCCTGAGCTGAGGTGTTCTGCAGCATGGGCATGAGAAGATCACAACTACATTTCCCAACCAGCTTTCTTTGACATTCTTAGCGAGTGACGCCAGCACCAGCCAATGCAGCCGTAACAGAAGCAGACCCTTCTTCGAGGGTTCGCCTTTTCTTGATTGTTTCGAAGGCTTTGATGACATCTCCGATCTCCCAATCCGAGAAATCACCCACACCAGCACCACACTCTAGCCCAGCACCAACCTGCAAGAGAAAAGTGAAGGAAAACAAACAGCTATTGGCACTTAGTACAGATGGGCATGTGCATAATTATAAATAGAGAAAATCAAAATATAATAGTGGTGAATTCAGAACTATAACAAGACAAGATAACAGAAATCTATCAGCATTCATGAGTAGATTACCTTTAAATCATTTATTTATGAGAGCAAAGAATAAATAATATGACAGTCAAGGCCCTTTGATAGAGCAGCTATAGTTTAATAACAAAGTATGCATTTAAACATAGGAAGGTTTACATACATACCAACCAATTCTTTTGTATTTACATATCAAACACCTAAACTTTTATTTTGACATTTATACACTCAAATCTTTCATATCATGACAAAAATACCACCACTTTAACTTTTAAAAAGTGAAATACAAATTTCCAAGAATAGGTAAGGTGGTATGAAAAAATTGCAGTTTAGATGTCAGATACGTAAATACATAGGAATTGAGTGGTATGTATGTAAATATTCCTTCAACATGTCCTACACTGCCTCATAAATTACCTATTCTTGATAACAAATTAAACAAATGAATACACTTGGCAAGAGTCTAATGCACACAATAAATCATCAAGATAATGAACTAATAATAATGGTTTTGAACATACCTCCTTCACCTCTTCCTTTACTCGTCTCAGCGAAACAATCGTTCCGGTATGAACCGTCTTCCCCTTCCGAACAACTTGAATACCGCAGTTTTTCACCAGCTTTCCTTCGATCACCATGCATCCAGCCACTCGTCCGCTTCCGCTGCTAAAAGTAGCTCGAACTTCCGCTGCTCCAATGGGCATTTGTTCCTATAGAATCAACACATCAGGATTTTTTTCTAATGAGTGAACTCAAAGCCTTGATGCCATGTTCACGAGTTAAGGAAACAACTCACCTCAACAGGCTCGAGTAGACCTTCCATCGCATCGCGCATATCATCAATGAGATCATAGATAACTCGATACAATCGAATCTCGATGTTCTTTTTGTCGGCATAGCTCTTAACTGACCCAGCTGCTTTCACATTGAAACCGACTATAATAGCCTCAGCGGCAACAGCAAGATCGATGTCGCTGGTGCTTACATCACCCGGGGCTTGGAGAAGGAATTTCAAAGCGACATTATCCTGCGGAAGCACTTGGATGGCATGTCTGATTGCATCAATTGAGCCCTATAATTGATGATGGTGAGTGCCATTATTTCGATCAAGATAACATTTTAAAGATAAAAATGTCAAAAATTGCCCAATGTAAGGAGTTTGGGACTATTTTGGCACTTGTATTTTAAAGAGAAATTTACATATGTAGCATATAATTCTAATGTATTTACATATGCCACATCTAAACTTCTATGCTTACATAAATAGCACCCTGGTGCTTTGAACCCATGCATGAAAAAATGTAAATATGAAAGTTTGGGTGTGAAATAGGTAAATACACAAGAATTGTGTGCTATTATAATGCTGTTGTGGGAGCAAAATGCAAAATTGAGTTACCTGGACATCAACCTTCAGGACAATATTCAGCTGATGCCTGTCTACTCCAGACTGCTTCCCCATTGAAATAGCAGAAGCTAAGGAAGATAGAGTAAGCTTCGTCTCCCCGGCTTTGGAAGATATGTGTGAGACCCGCCGAGATTCCGCACAAGACTCGGCTCTTTGACGTGCCAAATCTAGAAAGTCAACGACCTCAAATTCATCGCCAGCTGCAGGAACGTCGCTAAGGCCAATAACCTATTGAGCAATTAGGGGAGGAATATCAGGTATTCACAACTTTATATTTAACGAACGATGAGTAAAAAAGCTGCCTTGAAAAATAACAGTTTAGGAGGTCAATGGCTAGTGCAACAGGGTATAAAAAAGAAAAATTTACATACATACCACTCAATTATTCCGTATTTACATGTCTAACACTTAATCTTCAATTTTTCATATATATCACCTTACCTATGCATGAAAAGGAGTGTTCACTTTTTAAAAGTTCAAAAAGTGGTATTTTAGAAGCGATATGAAAGATTTAGATGATGTAAATGTTAAAAGTAAAGTTTAGGTGTTAGAGATATGTAAATACATATATGAATTGGGTGGTATGTATTTAAATGCCCCAAAAAAAAAGAAATCAACAACATGCCAATGCATTAAGAGACAGAACAACATCTGAAGTTGAGGAGGCACTGAGGTAAAATTTCATCTTGTCATAATAGTTTCTACCTTCATAAGTTATTCAAAAATATCAACACCCAAATTTAAAAGGAACAAAAAAATCAATTCCATGCAGTTTTGTTATGGATCCAAGGCTTAAAAAAGTAAAATATACACAACATAATATTTGAAGTTCGTAATTTTAAATTATATGGCAACTAAGAAATCAGAAAGTCATGCACTTTTGTCCGGTCTTTCACACTCCACCATCTTCAAAAATACTTGGCAAGCTAACTATGGAAAAGAAGAATATAGAGAAGACCAGAATGTAGAAAGCAATCCAAGGGACTCCAAAAGATTCCACGGCATTCTAGAAAAAACTAAAAGGTGAATATTCCAAAGAATTCTATATTGTTCCACATAATTCCATAGATATGCTGAAAGAAACAAGCTTTTAAAAGAACAATAGACTATTATGGAAAGTTCTAGAAGCATATATATATATAAAGAACAATGTAGAACTATCTAGAAGATAGCATATTCTTATGTAATCTATAAAGTTCTCTTAAGCTCGAGGAGGGCTAAAAATAGAAGTTCCTCCCCTTCATTTGGATCCATCCAAGAACATTCAAGGTTCCCAAGCATTCAAGTGTTGTAATCACTCTTTCTTAGCGAAATGTTTCTTTCTTCAATACTTCTCCTTACTCTTCTTCCTAGAGTGTTTTGTGCATACAACTCCAAAAGTTGTGAGGGTTAGGTTAATTTAGTGTCAAGGAAGAATGCAGAAGCCGCGCGGGTGACTTGAGGTAAGTTAATCCGAGACAGACCTCATCATTTTAACTCGAGAACTAAATTTACTTCACATGTTAATAATGAACAGCTTGTGATAATCCATCCGATCTATCATGAATTAAGCATATGGTTTCAAAAGGAAAATAAATAATGTGCATTTAAAATGCACCCACAATTAGGCTACTTGTTTCCAAGAGAGATTTTAATATAAGAGCTAATAAATTCCAAAATATGACGAATCCTTCCTTCAGCCATGTTATTAATAACAGACTTATACCTACAGGCAGCAAACAGGAATTTCAGCTTCCACTATCTCTGCTAATAACCAGCTGTATTAGGGACCACTACCACTCTCTAGAATAATATATGTTTCATCACACACACACACACGTTTACTATAATAGTGGTGTTGAAGATACCTTTAACCTTTCTTCCCGCTTATTAGAAATGATCTACTCATTTTATCTCTTTTAGCTATTCCCTTTACTGTTGTTCTACACAACAGCTCATACTCAATTGCCATAGAAGTTTATCATGGTATCAGAGCTTCCAGGAAGAAGATCAAGGTTTTTATCCTCAGCCCTAAATCACGGTTTTTTTTTTTTTTCCTTTCTCTCCTCCCTTTGTCTCTGTTTCTCTACCGCCAATGTCGGTGAACTCCTCACAAATCAATCAAGAAGCTGTTAATGAGTCATTGCACATGACCGAAATCCCCATCCCCTCATCTCTCAAGTTTTTGAAGACCAATATCAAAACTACGGCTAATGTCCAACAAACTTCAGAAAATTACCCAAAATGGAAACCTCTAATTTACAAGCTCTTCAAAGCCAATGGATTCGAGGGCTTCCTCGATTGAACCACTCCAATCCATTCCCAACCCACACTTTCTCCAATATATCTCCTATCATTTTACCCTACATTCATAACCTTGAATCCACCAATTACATTTGGAAAACTCTTCAAAGTCGTTTGCAATCAACCAATTGATCCCGTCTAATTCAACTCTGAAATGAACTCCACCACATCTCCATGAAAAAACAAATTTATGTCCCAATATCTGTTGACAATCAAATCCCCAGTTGACAGCATCGTCGCAGCTGGAGGATATATTGATCGAGAGGACATTATTCTTCACATCCTCAATGGCTTGCCCAATTTAAACCAATCCTTCAAAACAACTATCTGAACCAAATCAGAACCAATTAAACTCGACGACATCTACTCCCTCCTTTGCGGCAAGGAGATAAATATTTCGGTTGAAACTGCTAAAGAAACCTAATGCCATTGATTTTTTTAGTGCTCGTGGCAGCAACAATGGCTCTCATACCCGTGGTTGGGGTCCCTATTATAAGAGGGGCTCTCGAAGATCATCAAATTTGAACTGAGGAGATCAAAATCAGGTTCAGATAGCTAACCTTCCATCTTGCCAAATTGTAGCAAATTTGGTCGTACCACTCTTCAATGCTGGCATTGCACCAATTTTAGCTCATATTCATCTACCAAACAAAAGGCCGCACTCACGTCATCCATCGAACCATCTTCAAAAAATTGGTTACTAGACTCGGAAGTCACCGCCCATCTCATCTCAAACTATGATTATCTTCAGAAGGCCCCACCGTACACCGGCTCCGACTCGGTCACCACTGGTGACGGCTCCAATCTTCCAATCACCCACAACGTGCAAGCTATCCTACCAACACCACAATGTAAGCTCCGCCTCTCCAAGCTCTTTCACTTTCCCTTTTTAACTCACAATCTTCTCTTTATCCATAAATTAAACTTTGATAGCAATTGTAATATTTCATTCACTCCATCTTCCTTTGTCATTAAGGACAGGAGCACCAACTTTCTAAGTTTTGAGAAAAATTGGCTAAATTCTGAATAGACTCGATGCGCTTTCATTCCATTAAATAATAATTTTATAATTTATTTTAGGTACAAAATATTATGTATAATTTATTTTAGATAACTTAATAATACATATTCCTAATCTAAATATTAAGTTGAAAGGAAAATAAATCAGAATAAATATATTGGAAATAATTTAAATAAGGAAGCTCCTAATTATAGAAAACTCCTAATTTAGCTGTCTGATTTTCGTTCCTGATTGACATCCCCCCTCAAATTGATATTGACTGATCATGAAGCATCAATTTGCCAACAAGAAACTAATAACATTGTCAGGACAAAAAAAATCCTCAAACTGTCGAAGCCGAGAGTGTCGAAGCCTAAAATTGTCGAAGTCTGAGAGTGTCGAAGTATAAGAGTACCGAAGTCTGAGAGTGTCGAAGCCTAAGAGTGTCGAAGCCTAAGAGTGTGGAAGCCTGAGATGACGAAGCCTTGAGAGTGTCGAAACCTGAGAGTGTCGAAGCCTGAGAGTGTCGAAGTTTTAAAATGTCGAAGTCTGAGAGTGTCGAAACCCAAGAGAGCCAAAGCCCGAGAGTGCTGAAGCCCAAGAATGCCGAAGCCCGAAAGTGTCGAAGCCCGAAGCCGAAGCGAACGAAGCGAAGCGTAAGAAGCAGTCGAAGGTGCCACAGAAGCAGCGATGCCTAGTGAAGAAGATCTGAATCAGACGAATAATAATACAAACATAACAACCCTTTTCAACCTAAGAATCATTGTATTCCACAATGAATGGATTTTGCACTTCTGAATAAGTTCCATCTCCTTCAAGACATAATTCTTCTTTTCCAGCTTGTTCTTCACGAGAAAAGTTGTGGATCTCCGGCAGCACATCTGTCGCTGGTTTGTCCTGCGAGAGGCTATCAAAACATGTGCTCTGATCTGTAAGCACGGTACTCACCCATGTCTGAACGTTATTCAGATGTCAGCCGAAGGATATGCTTCCATATCGCCCCATTCTCTCCATCCCTTTAACTGATCTCCGCAGTCGATCAACGGAGTTGTCGATCGTCTCGATGCAATCACGAACGACACCGCCGTCGCAGGTTCTTCGAGCTGTGGAGGAAAATTTTAAGCTCGCCGACATTTTGTGAACGAAGTTCGAGGCTGCGAAGGCGTGATCGGCTGAAACTTTAAGGGTCGCGTGAGCGAGTTGGCAGGGGCTGCGGTGCTGGATCGCTAGGATATAGTAGATTAGGCACTTCTTGCAGAGATTGGGGTAGCGGGTTACCTTGCAGGTAGATCGGATGAAGTTTATGGGAGCTGCTGCGGTGGTGTTGAAGGAGAGGGCGATGGAGATCGTCGCCGCTGCGGCGGCTAAGGTTAAGATCGGGGATCTATGTTTTTCTACTGTGTTTCTTGTTCTAAAATTTCGCTTAGGTTTTCACAAAACCCCAAAAATTTATCCATTGTGTTTCTTGTTCCGACGGCGGTGCAGATGAAGAAGACGAGGGTTTTAGGCAAAGTAGACGAGCGAGAATAAGACAAAGAAATAGTTCCTCCCTTCCCGCAACAAAAAGACCGGCGTGAAGGAAGTTTTGACGGTCCTCCAACGATTATCAGTGGTTAATGCAAAATTTTAGCTCTGATACCATGTCAAAACTTTGAGAAAAAAATGCTAAATTCTGAATAGACTCGATGTCTTTTCCCTTTGCTTCTTTTCCCTTTGCTTTCATTATTCCCTTTGCTTTCATTACATTAAATAATAATCTTATAATCTATTTTAGGTACAAAATATTATGAATAATCTATCTTAAGTAACTTAATAATACATATTCCTAATCTAAATATTCAGCTGAAAGAGAAATAAATCAAAATAAAGATATTAAAAATAATTTAAATAAGGAAGTTCCTAATTATAGAAAATTCATAATTTAGCTGCTTGATTTCCGTCCTTCCTGATTGACACCAACCACATCTTCTTGCAAAGATCAAGCAAGAACAATCTATCCCATCTCCGCCCTTGCTGTAAACCAATCCTCATCGACATCTGCTCTCCTTCGGCACCGAACACTTGGCACCCACATCACACCACCATAACTACTATTCTCTAAGACAAACAATATCAAAGCTAGAACATGATATTGTTTTAGAGAATAGTAGTTATGGATGTAACTCATCTAAGAGTCATTAGCAATTTTTTAATACTTCTGCTTCAGCATCCCACCATAGCTTTGACCTAGTTCATTCTTATGTATGAGATTCTACACCCACACCCTCTTTACAAGGTTATAAATATTATCTTCTGTTTATTGATGATCACACCAGATTTATTTGGGCGTTTCCTATGTTTGCAAAGTTTGAAACGACAAATAAATTTATTCTCATCCACAAACTTACTCAAAATCAATTCAATACTAACTTCAAAATCTTGCGATCTAATTAATGTGGCGAATACACATCCCATTTTGTTAGGGGGTTTAGGGACAAACATCGTCGTCTTATTGAAACAACGCGAGCCCTTCTCCTCACCACCCATCTTCCTTACAAATTCTGAATTGCAGTTGTACTCGCTGCAAGCTACCTCATAAATTTCATGTCGGCCAAAAAAACTAAACTAAAAAGTTCGTATGAACTTCTTTATCATAAAACACCTGCATATAACCACCTCCGCACTTTTGGATGCCTACGCTTGGCAAAAACCCCAAGCTCCACACAAATTGGCTCCTATTTTTGAGTCCTGTATATCCATTAGCTACGCACCCTATTACAAAAGATACGAACAACCAAACCCAACAAATCATCTCGAGACATGTTGTCTTCAATGAATCAGTATTTTCATACCAAAACCCAACCTCCCAATCTCTCATCACTCATACATATATCTAACCGAACCTCCTCCTTCATATCTCACACAATCCCATCACGTCCTCAACACATCGCATCATTACAACTAAACATCCCTCGGCTCCATCCCCTCCAGAACTAAGAGCTTCATCCCCTTCAGAAACAAGAGCTACCACAACCGCATCATAACTAATCCCAACCTCCACAACCACTCAAGATCAAACTTCTAGCATAACCGAACTCTCCACCTCACCTCCTTTAGTGCCACCAACATTCCAACAACATACATCCAAATACCCCATGACGACTCATTTCCAGACCATATTCCTCCAACCAAAGCAAATTCTAAACCTCAATACCTCAAGCAATTCACCACCCGATCCAACCACCTATCAACAAGCAAAACATCATCTCCACTGGCGTAAAGTCATGTCCAAGGAGTTCAAACCCCTTCAAAGGCAAGGAACCTGGGTTCTTGTCGATCCAGCATCCCATTCTAACATCATAGGCTACAAATGAACATACCAAATCAAATATCCTCAAGATAGCACACCCAGCTAATTCAAAGCCCATTTGGTAGCACAAGGTTTTAAACAATAGCAAGGCATTCAATATGTTGAAACCTTTGGCTCGGTTACCAAAATGCCAACTATTCGCATTCTGCTCTCAGTTGCAACTAACCATAAATAGTTGGTTCAACAACTTGATGTCTCAAATACAATTCTTCACAGCTACTTGGACGAAACCAATGATACACATCAACCTCAAGGTTTTCAAGTTTCTCAACATCTGATCAAAGTATGTCTTTTTAAAAAGGTCATTTATGACCTTAAACATGCACCAAGAAAATTGTAATCAATTGTTATTACCTACATGCGCAATCAAGGCTTCCACTTAAGCTCAGTCGATCTCATTTATGCCCAAACCACTATTTATTTCCTTGTCTATGTGGATGACATTCTCATCACGGGGAACAATTCATCCACCATCACCTATCTCATCCAAACTTTTAAAACCAAATTTCAACTAAAGGAACTTGGTCCCATTGCAACCTTTTTCGGTATTACCACCTAAACCACACCTTTCGAATATCACTTATCCCAAACTTCCTACATCCACAACCTTCTTCAACAACTTAGAATGTCAAATTGAGGACTAATAATACCCGCTTCCACTTAAAATTCAACCCAGCCACAACACCACACATGAATTCCATGATATCACACAATATCGTCACCTAGCTGGATCCCTACAATTCATCACAATCACCCGACCCGACATTGCTTTCACCGTCAACTACATTTGCCAACAAATGCACTGCCCACTCATCAACTACTTTCAACTAATCAAGCGCCTACTACGCTATCTCAAGGGAACAATTAACTTTGGACTTCCCATCACCAAAAATAATCTACAGCTCTAAACCTACTACGACTCTGACTGGGCCGGTGATTCCCAAAATCAACGCTCCACCACCGGCTTCTGTACCTTTTTTTGGTAATACTCTCATATCTTGGATTGTTCAAAAGCAAAATATCATGGCAAGATCCTCCCACGAAGCAGAATACAGGGCTCTTGCAGCGGCTAAAACGAATGTTCTTTGGATCAAACGACTTCTACAAGAGTTCCACATCCCTCCTACCACTCCCACACCAATTTTTTTATGACAACACCTCAACAATTGCTATAGCCCTCAATTCCATATTTCACGCTCGAAAGAAACATGTTGAGATCGACTACCACTTTATTAGGGATCACATCGCCTCGGGCAAAGTTCAGGTTCAACACATCAGCTCCTCAGATCAGGTTGTTGACATCTTCACCAAAAGCCATTTTGCATCAGTTTTCAACACACTTCGACACATCCTTACTATCACTTCCCTCGATGGTTGGCATGAGGGGAGATAACAGACCTACACCTACAGGCAGCAAACTAGAATTTCAGCTTCCACTATCTCTGCTAATAGCCAACTGTGGTGGGTACCACTACCACTCGTGATCGCGTAATAGTGGTGGTGAAGATACTTTTGACCTTTCTTCTTGTTTATTAGAAATGAACTTCTCATTTTATCTCATGCAACTATTCCCTTTACTGTTGTTCTACACAAAAGCTCATACTCAATGGCCATGGATGTTTTTCAATTATAGCTGGCTGAAAATTTAGAAACAATTTAAAATTTTAATAACAAGAAAGAAAGGAATTAGAAACCTGAACAGCCATCGATGGTCCTACTTCATCAACACGACTGCCCCTATCATCAAATAAAGCACGAACCTGTTCATCAGAAAGTGTGTAAAGTTAAAAATAAATGGATGCCATTAATTCCATGCAAAACTAGGACAAAGTTCACCTCTGAGTCCAGGATTAACGTTAACTTGTAGTTTTCTATAAAGAACTAAATTTTCTGAAAAACTAACCTTTCCATAAGCTTCACCACATACAACAATATCACCCCTTCGAAGAGTTCCATTTTGCACAATAAGTGTGGAAACAGGCCCTCTTGATTTCTCAAGTCCCGCTTCTATGCAAATTCCTTTTGCTTTTCGATAAGGATTTGCCTTTAACTCTTGCATCTATAAATGTTAAAATTGAAATAGAATGAAAGATGAAAACTTCCGCAAAGAAAAATAAATGTTACTTTGACATAAGAAACCGATATAAGTTGGGGGGCCTCTCATACCTCAGCAACTAACATGACAGTCTCTAACAGTTCATCGACATTCTCGCCATTAAGAGCACTTATCTGACAAAAAATAAGAGTAAAAAATAAGCTATGCCATAGAGTTTCAGACAAAAGAGCAAAGAAATAAACGAAAACTCGAGTGGCTGAATTAGTGAAACAACCTTGACCATAGGGATGTCACCACCCCACTCTTCTGGCATAAGACCAGCCTGCGAAAGTTCTTGCATAACTCTATCCGGATTAGATCCATCCTTATCTATCTGAGAGGGCGAAAGAAAGTAAATGAGTAAATTGTCAAAATAATCCCATGAGTTTCGATAGTGGGTTATTTTAGTCCCAGAGTTTATAAAAGTGCTAAATAAGTCCCCATAATGTTTTAATGGGAGGGGCTGAAATAGTCCTCAATATGAGCTATTTCAACCAATATTAAAAAAATCTGGGGTCTAAATTCATATTTTTATAAATAATACGGGAAAAATGGATCATCTACATGCCTTGTTTATTGCTATTATGATAGGCACACCGGCTGCTTTTGCATGAGCTATCGCCTCATTCGTTTGTGGGCGGACACCATCATCAGCAGCAACCACAATAATGATTATGTCTGTCACTCTCGCTCCACGAGCTCTCATTACACTGAATGCCTGTGGAAGACAAGATTAATTCCTCCATTTCAATAAGCATGTGAAGCAATATTACCATAAAGCTCCACAATTTTGAAGGCATAAGAACACGTATTACAGTGTATGTATGATCAAGAAGTATGAAAAAACTAGAACACAACGGTCAAAAATTTAAATGGACATATAAAACAAAACCATTGAGAAGCTAACCAGACTTTAGCATAGCATGCATACCTCATGCCCAGGTGTATCAAGGAAAACACAAGACTGAGGTTTTCCATCTATGGAAACTTCAACCTTATATGCTCCAATGCCTTGCGTTATTCCGCCTGCTTCAGATGCCACCACCTGTAAATTTTTTTTTTTATATATATTTAATATAGAGAGCAACCAACAAAAAGTTAAAAAAATTCAATCTCTAGCATTAAGATTAAAGCATGAATTGCAAAAAGAAATAAACGTACCTTGCTCTTACGAATATAGTCCAAAAGAGTTGTCTGTCAATTCAATATAACGAACCAAAGAAACACATGAGCAAATTTCATCTTTGGATTAAACTGTGATGATCAAAATATTATAGAAAAGTACCTTTCCATGATCAACATGGCCCATAATTGTGATAATCGGAGGCCTTACTTCTAGCAGATCCAAATCTTCCTCATCTAGTACCTCTTTTTTCTTCGCCATCTCCTGCACTGTAACCTGAGCAGCTTCAATAACTTCCACATCATATTCCTTGCATATCATTTTAACCATATCTTTTCCCAGAGTATGCACTGCATCAGGTTTGATCCCCTTTGAATACAGAAACCCAAGAATTTCTACTTCACTAACAGCGAGATTGTAAGCTAACTCCTCAGTAGGCATTCCCTCATCCCCAACCTCAACAATCTCTACTTTAACGGGTGCTGCAGCTTTAGCTGCCTCAAGTCTTGCAGCCTTGCGACTTGCCTTTGTCCATTTCCTTCCCTTCCTTGCACCAGGAATAGGTACATCAAGCTCTGAAGCATCTTCCTCAGTTATGTCAACATCATCTTCTACCAATCTTTTACGCAAACCACCAATAGCACTGGATTTCTTCCAGCGCTCCTCCTTGAACTTTGAAGGGGGCACCTTTACGGGTTTTGTGGGCATCAAAACAGCTTCTGCAATGGGATCAACAGCTGATTTCTTAGATGCAAACTTGTCAATAAGAATTGGTTTTCTCTCTTTTGTAGATGTAGGTTTCTGTGCAGTACTTATATTTGCAGACTGAGAAGCAACACCGGGCTTTGCTTGCAGCCTTGGTACAGCTTTAGGAGGAACTGGTACAGATTTCTGAGGTCTGAAAACTTTAGGAGATGAAGTTTCTTGTTTGATTGTCTCTGATACCATAGGAGCCTTTTCCTCTTCCTCTTTGTCTTTAGCAATCCTTGGTACTTCCTTGACCATCTTCTGTACATTTGTTACTGGGTTCCCCTTCCGCCACACACTCTTCACTGTTTTCGACTTCTGAGAAGAGTTGTTAGCGTTCCCATATCTGTTGGGCTTAGAACTACCATTTGTTTTGACATTGCCCCTACTCTCACTACCACCTGATTTAACTGGATTAACAACCATCCCAGTCTCCAGTTTCTCCACCTTCTCCAAAACCTCCCCCAATGACTTTATAACCTTCTCTCTATCTTCATCCCGAGTTTCTACTCTTTTTCCAGTAAAAACTCCCCCATTTAATGATGCAGTGGAGCTTGCAAAATCGGCAGGACTACTTGGCCTACCTTTTAAAACTGGTTTTGGGGCAGCCTTGAGAATTAGATCAGCATCCTCGTCTTTATTAGCACTAATAGCTTGATATACTGATTCAAGGGAAGAAGAAACGACCTTCTCATCTATTAAGTTTGGTGTAACCATGCACTTACAGAAACTACGGCGATAATGCAAAACCCATTGCTGCCTCCTGCCAGAGTTACTGAAACTAAGCCTTGAGATTACGTGGATTCTTTTATTGCCCAATACCAAAGAAGCGGTCTCGAGGTGTGAGGAGTGCGAAGCCCTCACGCTTCCCAGGGTTGCAAGGGAAGCAGGAGAAGCCATTACTTCAAACTGACAAACCTAAAACGCACATAAAGAGCGGAGTGCTGCGATCTCTAGGAAAAAGCTCTAGCCTAAAGTAAGTGAAAAGAAAAAAATTCTCATTTTTGGTCCGCCTCGGATCTCCAAGCACAACGAACGGTCTCCCGAGCTCAAAAATTCAACAAAAAATGCTATTTTTGGGGGGTTTCGGAATGAAAGAACCCTAATTTCGCGGCAGAGAAGATAAACGATTGAACTTCCGATCAAATCTATAAACTTCCACGGCGAAGACGACAGCTTACCTCCACAAATTTGCGGTGGGAGGGCTATTCTTCAGGGTGGGGAACAAGACGGAGAGAGCGAAGAAGGGCGTGAGGCCGATGATTTATTGGTTTTGTGCTTTAAGAGGCAAAATCGAATGGTGGGACAAGCGGCCGAAGGCTAGTGGTTCGTAGGAGAGATGTGTGGCAATTCCTCAGCTTGTCAATTTCTATAGGATAAGGTTTTTGATCCGAAAAACCCTCAGCCATATTATGCATAATGCATGATTTTATTCTATTTCAGTCTATAGATATATACATACTAGTACAAATTCAAATAGGCCAAAAGCACATTAATGAAATTAATAGTAAGAAAATAAATAAATTTTACCTATTTTTTAGTTAATAATTTTAATAATTTTTAATTAAAATGATCAAGGGAGTAAATTTGTTACTATAATTAATGATAAAAAATATCAAAGCAATGAAAATTTTAATTATTAATCTTAAAATTATAATTGATAGATAATGATTAATATAATTTATAATTCGATAACTAAAAAAAAAATATTTTTATGGCAAATTTTCAAAGCAATGAAAATTTTAATTATTAATCTTAAAATTATAATTGATAGAATATGATTAAAATAATTTATAATTCGATAACGAAAAAATATTATTTTTATGGCAATAAACAAATGAGACCTTGTAGACAAAGCCTTAAAAAACATTTGGTTAAAAAAACTTAATTATAAAAATTAAATCAATATAAATGCATGCCTTTGTGAAATGTAAACCATTTCATCGATAAAAACTGTCATAAATTGCATATACACCACATTCCATTGAAAATACTTACAAAACAAGGTTACCAAGGATCTGAGGTAGGAGCAAGAGACAAGTGAACTAGATAGGAGCAATCAAGGGAGAGAGTTGAGTGAGGAGTTACATAGGGCTCGAGCGGGGGAAGGTCAAACAGAGGGGTAAGGGAGTAATAATCTGATCGAAAACGCGAACCGCGGGGTTGATCTCGCTGGTCGCGTCTAATAGAAGAATCCAAACTGCGGAGTAGGATACACAAACCGTACACACGAAATAAACGTTATTTGCGCTATTTCAAAACGCAAAACTCAAGAATAAGCTGTCCCAAACGGGCCCTAAGTCTCTCTCTCTCTCTCTCTCTCTCTCTCTATCTTCGTATACATGAAAAGTGCCATGTAATCCAGAAAAGGCCAAAAGATTTTGCACGAAAATAAAAAACATGTATATCAATGAAATGTTTCAGAAAAGACAAAAAAGACAAAAGTCTGGACATGCTTTTGAACTGGAAACCGACATCGGCATGAAAGGTGTAAGAAAAAAAATAAAAATACATTTATATTTATTTATATTTTTTAAAAGGCTGAACTGGTTCTCCGATTTATAGGTTGAACTGCCGGTTCAACCAGTTTCTGGCGATTCACAGTCAGAGAAGTATTCTAGTGTGCTCCGGATCAGACTGACCACAAGTTCACAGTCAAACGGGTAAAACCAGCCGATTCAGTCCGGTTTTGTAGACGGTTATTGTTTTAGTCTGATTGGTTTGGACTCAAATCATTTTTTTGTCTTTATCCTGGCTCAGATGGCTCCATCATATCTGATAAGTGAGCATGTCGATTTTTTATTAGTAGATCCTCCTTTATCATGTTTCCTCTATTCTGGACCATTGATTCTCCTCGGGATCTGCTTAACCATATTTTTTATGCACAATAACTTTATGATAAAAAATCACTTGATTCGAATTTAAGAAATAACGGGAATAGAAAAATTAGTGTTTAAATTAACTAAGGTCATAATAAAAGAATTTCAATGATTATGATGATAGTTCAATAATTTAAATGAAAGTCTGTATGTTATACTGAGAGAAATGACGATGAAGAAATTTTTAGTTAGGTTATAAGAGCACTTATATAAGCTAAATACGACTTAATTTAGGGTATGAATGTGAGAGATTCAAAATATATAATTTTTCATTAGGTTACATATTCTAGAGTATTAGCCTCAAATTATTTTGCAATTGGAGATAAAATTAAATGAAAATCTGCATCTTGTTAAGAAATTATGGTGCTATATGTTTAAAATGTAAACAAAAGAAAAATTGTGCCAAATGAATAAATATTTTATAACAGTCCAAAGAGGCCCATTTCAAAGAGCGATTATTGCGTGCGGAGAGCTCACGTAGAGCGCAGATGTATGACAGTGCAGCCGCGATACGTGGCTGTGATCGGAGAGCGCACGCAGCTCTGCGTGCGCTCTCCGCACACAATAATTAGACCTTTTCAAAATTAGCGTGCACAAGTTTCGTGCATTTTAAAAATGGAAAAAGTAAATATACTACCAACTGTCACATTCAAGAAATTGAAAAAAAAATATTTATTTATTTTGGAAATTGAATAAATTTAATTGTAAGTTCATCACACATTCACATGCACACACATTAATGGAAACATTATTTCATGGCTGACTTCTTTAAAAAGTACTTATAATGCTAATTAAATACTAAATTTGAGTCATCATATGCATTTTCAAATTGTAACCATATCTATATATATATATATATATGTATGTATGTATGATCAAGGGAATTTAGGAATTATTTTAGCCAATGTCACATTTGTCTTCTCTTATCCTTATGATTCTATCTTTGTAATTATAGCTAATTAAATATTAGCTCGTTAACTAATTTTATTTGTTAATTATTATAAGAAGTTAAATATTTAAAATTTTTTATAAACAATAATTCAAGAAGTCATGGATTATGTAAACAATAAATATTTTGTTTATAATGTAAAAATAATATAGATTATTAATTAATATATATTTATTAGATATTATATGGCTATGATTAAAACCATGAAATCATATAAAAGTAAAAAATTAGGATTCAAGATAGAGAAATCATGAGTCTCTTATCAAATGGTAGTAAGATTGCCATCTCATATTCTGATAAGTATCTAGTCTCCTCGTGTTGATACTCCTCCTCCACCTCCACCTCAACCATCTAATGATTTACTCGCTAACGTCATCACATTGCACCTCCTCCGACATCGTCTCCATCATCGCCTCCATCTCAATTTTTTGAGTAGTGAATCGTCGTTGAATGTCATGTCATTATTGTTAACTTTTGTATCAATCAGTATAGATATCTTACTTAAGGAGTATTGTGCGTCGTATGCGAGTCTCTGTGAACCCATGCAGAAGATTCTCCCTTATTCTTCCCCTCAACGACTTGTCTTTTGATGTCAAATACTAAGTGGATAGACTAACCACAAGAACTATTAAGCCGTTTCAAGCTTTGAATATGGATCTACTTCAAACACAAGTAATCATACTACAAAAAATTATAAATAGTAATTATGCAACGACAAAAAAGTCACCGTGCCACTATATAACGCCTTTGTCTCCATTATTTCCTATTGATTGTCATATTTTCATATAACTTTAATAAATGAATATCATTTTCTATACAACATGCCCAATTCTTTTTAGATCTACCTCCACCTTTCTTAGCATAAGCCAACTTTTAAGCATCTACTCTCCTAACAGAGTCATCAGATGACTAACATTTAACACGACCAAATCATTTAGGGTGATTCTATCTAATCTTGTGTGCCGCTGGAGCTACTCCAACCATTTCAAGGATATATTCATTTCAAATTGTGTATCTAAGTATATAATCCTCATCCACCTAAGCATTCTCATTTAAACAACACCTAACCTAATTTCATGCTTCTCTTTTTTTGGTCAACATTCTTCACCATACAACATTGCAGGTCCCACCACCATCTTATAAAATTTTTCTTTAAGCATGAGTGATACTTTTCTTTTTCACACAATAGGCCGCCCGCCTTCACTTCAACCATCCAAATTGAATTCTGTTAATGACATCCCCATCTATATCACCATCACTTTGAACAATAAACTTGAGATATCTAAAATGTTTGCTCATTTTAAATCTTAATAACCAATTGTTGCAACCCTGCCACTATATCTACTTCTATTAAATTTTCACTTTATATATTCAGCTTTAGATCTAGAAAGGGGGTCATTAGACATAAAATTAAATTATAAAATAATTGCATAGATATAAAAATTTTAATTGCACTTACAAATGCTCTTTGAGATCTATCATCGACCGATCATTGATCAGTCTAATGTTGATATGTATGATTATGTAGCTTAGCGGCAACAAGTCTCATTCAAACACTTTTTTTGTTAAGATACAAAAATTTAGTAAATAATAGTTAGATACTTAAATTTAATGAGCTTAGTAAATTTTAGCTTCCTCCACTTACACCCGTTACGCGGGAGCAAACCTCTAATGAGTAACGAGATACTCATCCATGATTTAGGCATTTTTAGGGCTTGTTATTTTGTATTGATACTTGACATTATAAGATCCACATATATATTAGAGTGAGTTATGGAACCTTCCCATGGTGGTCTTTATACATCATTTAGTAGCTTGTAGATCTTTTGAGTTTCACTTTTTGACGACTCTTCCTCCATTTGTTCAACATATTGAGCTCTTATTGCATTAGACACAATTTCTTCAAATCTACTAGAATCATACTCAGGTGGAGCATAGCTCATTGAAGCACCAACTTGAGAATCAATGTGTGATTCATCCTAGTTGTGTGAAGTCCAAAATTAATATATGGTTCAAATCCTCTATAGTATAAATCCAACATGACTTCTTCAGGCGTTAAATATGTATGACACTTATGTTTTACACATGTGTATCGAAATTTATTCTCTGAAAGGTAAGTAGGAAGTTAAGATACCGCTTGTACGAAAGACTCCATAAAATTCAAGAACTCAATAGTTTATCCTTTTTACCCCGGATGTAATCTATTATACATCCAGAATCTTACAATATGAATAATCATTGACAACTTATATATTTGAGAACAAAATCATTAAACTGATTATTGACAACTCATGCAATCATTGCATTATGCCTACTAAAGTGTGTGTTGTGTAAAATGCATATGGAACCCTAAAACCAAAAGATTTAAATATATAAAAGTTTTGTGATATGCATCTAAATGCCCCATTTATATGCACATAACTCAATTCCTATGTAGTTATATGTCTAGCTTCCCAACTTCTATATTTGCATACAAAATGACAATATAAATAAAATGGAGGGGAACTTATATACATACCACATAATTCTGCTCTGTTTTTATATCTAACATCTGA